GAGGCATTGAAGCCGCGACCGGAACCTAGGGAGCTACAGTTCGTGCGTATTCTTCACGTGCCCACGCCGCTAGAACTGACCAAGAACAAGGCGTTTCGCGATCGCGTCAAGCTCCCGGCCAATATGCGGGCGGAGCACAAGTCGTCCAGAAGCATCTCTGTCGGCGCGGAGTTCATTGAGGCAATGCATAGGAAGCGCAAAGAGGAGGTCCAACTATTCCCAGTGTTGGCCAATTGGTCAATTGGTTCCCTGTGACTGCTGTGGGCTGTAGGAAGAAGAAGTAGAGCAAAAACAAGCTCTAGCGAGTGCTAGGTCAATCCATCCCATGGAAGGGCTGATATGGCGCGCAATTTCATTTTCCTCGCTTCAGACGACGCATGCGCCATGCCAGAGTCACGCGCCTTTGATTAACCAACACATTGCGGATAGGTGCAAGTGCAAAACGATAGCTATTGGTATCGAGCACGACGCGACATAGGTGGTGCATTGCATTTAAAGAGAGAAGTGGAGCAATTGACAGGCGACGCGGCAAGCCACTTTTCGCGCGGAATCGGTTTTGAAGGATTCTTTTATGTCAAAAAAGCTAACAAGGATGGTGATGTCGTAGCTACGCGAGTCTCTGCGGGTACCGCGCCAACTGCAGTTAAAGCATGGAACCTCGCAGACAATGCATGCAGGGTACGGGACAGCAACCCGGCTGATATGCATTCGTCAGGCTTGCAGGAACGAGACCTCCTGGGCACTCACTTTCAGGCAACCGTGGTTTCGCCCGTTTTCGGCGGCCTCTCACAAACCGAGAGACTAGAACTCATTGTTGATGCACTTCTGGAAAATCCCACCCGCCAAAACGACGCTGATGAGCTAGTCGGTTTTGACTGCATCCCAGCAGATGGAGAGTGTGCTTCTGTAGATTCTGGCGTTGTTTGGGTTCCAGAAAGAGTGCCCAAAGGATTTCTCCCAGGACCTCTGACTTCCAAGCTTCAGTTTTGCGCCCGTTTGACCGGCTTGAAGGCCTCAAAACTTTCTGTTCGATTGCTGACGCCAGCGCAGTGGAATCCGCAGATGCACGTGCCCTTGGAGGCCGAGCGCCACAACATTACCAGGGGGCGACGAGGCAAGCTCGGCGCGAGCTTGAAATCGACAAGGGGTATTAAGGAGGCAGAATCTCCTGGTAAAATCCGCCAGTTGCTGAACCAAGGTCTTGCGAGGAGAGATGCAAACATAGCATCTATGCGTAGATCGGCCCGATGCAATGGTGGTGACCCACTTGGACACTTCTTTCACGCCCTGCCCCCCAAACACCAGCTATTTGTTCTAGCAAAGCAACGGCGTGCAGATTGGGCACTGGAACGTGCTCAGCGAAAGGCCACGACACGTGCGGAGGGTGTGAACTCTGTAGAGGAGCAACACAAGAAGAAAGCAACACTTGAGTCTCACGAGACCAAAGCTGGGTCTATCTTATCGAGCACTGCACGAGATCCAATCAAGGAACAACGCCTGCGGAACGCATTGTGCTCGGGAATGATGACAGTTGAGCAACGGTGTGAGGCGCAAGGCGCCATGCGACTTCAGCGTATCTATCGCAACACCATGCTTCTCCGAGCTTTCCGTCGTCGAAATCGCCGCCATCTTGCTGCTATCCGGATCCAGCGTTGCCTCCGTGGCTGTTATGGCCGAGTTTACCATGTGCTTTTCGCACAAGTTTCGACACTCGCGGCAACTCGAATTGCTACTCGACATCGCATTTTTATTGCCATGCGCCGGACAGAGGAGCGTCGTTTGAGAATGAATCTTGGCGCTCTCGTGATTCAGAACGCCCTTCGGCGGCACCACGCTTTCCACTATGTCTGCTGGGTACGGAAGAACTGGCAGCATGCAACCAGACTTACAAAATGTGTACGCCAGTTTCTTGCTCGCTCTAGGAGCGACCTCATTCTCTTCTCTAGAATCTTCCAGCGGCGTCGCGCCCACCATCGTCTCACCATCCGAAAGCAGGGCAATCTAAAACAGTGCTTCATTGCCGTACGTGCTGTGGCACGCATCGCTGCAATCATGCGTGGGGTACTCTGCCGCTTGAATTACTACCACAAGCTTGCCAGCGATGTGAACCAACGAATTGTCGGTCCCGCTCAACGCCTCCTACAGCGCATAACTCGGGGTCACTCTGGGCGGTGCCAAGCGCAAGGCGCTAGGCGACGGAGGGATAATGTGATTCAAATACAACGCATTTTGCGTGGACATGCGCAGATTTTGTGGCGCAGACGATTAGACTACGTCAAATTTGAGTTGTTTTCCTTGGTGCAGCTCCAAAAGGTTGCTCGCGGTTACCTGGACCGTATTTTTGTGAGCCTAAAGCAAAATGAGGCGACACGCATCCGCCTGAGAATGATTTTAGTACCGCACCTCCAGGCGTGTGTCCGTCGCAAGGTCGCGATGCGAGTCACAAAGGAGAGATCTGTCGCCATCACAAATAGTCTCAAAATACAGCAAATCTGGCGTCTATGCATACTGTGTCGTGAGGCTAAGTGGGAGTTCCAGCAACGACTTTTGTATGTCCGTGTCCAAGCGGCAGCATGCATAACTCGACGGCTTCGCGGGCTATTTGCGAGGAGACAGTATTCGGCGATGCGCCACGCAGCTGCCGGGCATCGACTCAAGTCTGCTCGGATCATCCTGAGGGCATGGCTGCGATATCGCAGTGTGCAGCGTTTTGCAGTTTTAAAGGAAGCGTGGGAAGTTGAGAAATCCGCCAAAACGCTGATGGCCTGGCATGCTCTTCGTGACGATGTCCGAATCGACATGGCAGATGTTCGTGCCGATGTCAAGGATATCCGGTCGTCACGCAAGTGGGCACGGAAGCGGTTGAAGGCCCTGAGAAATTTCATGGCAGAGGCTGAGCTTCGATTGCCCAAGGTTGAAACACAGATGGAGACGCTGGATATCTCTGACGTTGAGAATGGTTGGGCCGAAGCCCTTGAAAACGAATGGGAACGGCTCACATCTCAACTCGCCATGGCGAGTGAGGAAAAACGGATCATGAAGGTCCACATCAGTCGCTGTGATGCTGAACTCCTTGAACTTCAGTTAGAGTACGAAGATATTGAAGTTGACATCGACGATATTGCGGTGCGCGAGCAAGAAGAGTTCGAACTTCTACGCCGCCTTGAAATAAAACGCGCCGACGTACGTGCCCTGGCTGGCTGGGAAAGGCGCGTCCGCAATGAGCGCATGCGGTGGAGAGTGAGAGATGTACGCACACGTGTTCTAAAACGGGAGCGCAAAACCCGGACGGAGCTTCTTGCGAAGGCCATCAAGAAGCGCGAAATTGCGATGTCGTCCACGCTTTCGATACACAAGCGCAAGCAATTTTTCAAGGAGGCCCAGCGAGAAGCCACGAAGGAAGATCACGCCAGCCGGGCATCAATCTTGGCGGCAGCGGCTGCTGACGAGGCTGGCGCTCTCGGCAAGCTCAAGGACACATATGACTCAGTGGTTTCTGGATGCGCGGCGCTCCTCCAGTGCGCCACGTTCGAAATGCGCAACACCGAGTCACACGGCAATACACTCGGCTGATGCCCTGTGTCTGGCTGGACTGGGGTAATCCCTTCGACGGCGACGACCGCATGATGCCGTCCTCCAGAGCGCCACGTTCGAGGTGCGCACCACTAAGTCACACGGCGATACACTTGGCTGATGCCCCGTGTGAAAGACTCTTGAACTCGTGTTCGGATTGCAGCACGAGAATTTTTGCGATGGAGATCTGAACATGAGGCTACAGCGGCGGACCCTAAACCGCCTCCTGGTCTGGATTTACATTAACTCTGCGACTTTGTGACCGGCGCCTTTGGAGGAGCGAAACGAGAGGACCACCTTGCGCGTGCGCACGCAGATGACCCAGTGTGACGACGGTGGCACCATACAGAAGCCACAGAACAGACGACTCGGTCTAGATCGGGCGGTATTGCCGCGCCTAGGGGCAGGGTAGTAGGCTCAGACTAGATCAGTAGCATCGTGGGGTGTTGCCCCTTTGTCTCTGCACCAATGCGCATAAAATTGCATTTACGGCAGTACAATATGTTTCCGGTAACGAGTTAGTGAGTTTAGGCCACCTATCATCATGATCATCCAGCCAAATAAAACTGCTGGCTGTAGTGGTCCTCTTAGCGAGATAGTGAACTCCGGGACAGGCACTCAGGCTTACTAGTAATCGACGGACCACGGGATCTATCTGAATTGAGTACTTTCGTGATCTACCATCATCCCCATCCTTTACATTACCCTGCTCCCTCATTATCGCGACGTCACACTATGGAGATGACATTGCACTCCCCCGTGACGTTGACATCAACGTTCCTTATTACCCTAGTTTGGGGTAGTTCTCCCTAGCGGGATAATCGACTAAGGTACTAACTTGCCTAGCTTAGCTTGGGTTTTGCAGTGCAGTTAACCTGTATTTATTGCAAGAAGCATGGTATATATTCGCAAGTATAGTGGCACTACTCTTCCCTTCTAGTTGGGGCCACCTACGTGCGGCCAAGTGGACGGGAGTTTGGACGGAAGCTGATTCCGCAGTCGACTCATCGCCAGCGCAACTGCTAACCTAGCTTCTGAGATACAAAGCAAGATAACCAAAGGCCACAGTCATTCCTTTCGCGGAAGGACCCAGCTGCCGCATACGGGCGAGGTAGCCGTCGAGGAGCGCCCTGCACGAGCTCTTTCTGTCAGCAAGATGGGTGCCCAGCGGTATCTGCCGAAGCTGTCTGTATTTCCCGCTTTCCCTATGCACTCTTCTTTACCAGGGACAAGGCTCGCTGTATAAATAAAATATGTGTCGCAACTTAAACGCCAGCACTTCGTTTTCTAGCATAATTACGGACACCAACAACTTTAAGGTACTCGTCGAGCGACAAGACGCCTTCACCCTTCTCCGCTTTGAGCTTGTCACCAAATAGCTTCGTCATGAGTCGCTCTACATGGACACGGCCGTAAGTCTGGTCATGGCCATATCGGGCGAAGAGGGTTGACATGGTATCATCCTCAGTAATTTGTGCTTTGAAGTCTTTGTCTATTTTGAGGGATGGGAGGTAAGTCATGAATTGGACTATATTGAACAGCTCGAAGGGCTCGAGACCAGTCTCATCTGTGACATTGCGATGGTACATCATCTTAAACTCATTCCAATCGATCTCGCCATCCAGATTCTCATCGACTTCCCAGATCATGTACTCGAGCTGCTTCTTCGTGCATTGGCGTCCAAGCGTCCGGAGTGCGTGGTCTAGATCCTTGATTGTAATTACCTGTGGGCCCTCCTCAAGCTGCTTTGTATCGTTAATCTCATTCTCTATTGCTGCAATCTCTAGTGACAAGGACCAGTCACTCCGTTGTACATCTTGCCCATGTTCATCATCCCCACTCGCAGATGCACTGATTCGCTGCAGATTTTGCATCTCTGCCAGCTGCGATTTCTTAGCGGTCAGCTTTGCGGGTAGCAGGTCACGATGCGCACGCTGGAAGTTCCCCGCCAAGAACTCGTAAACTCGTCGTACGTCCTGTGCAGGCATATTGAGCATCCATGGGCGACATTGTGGTGATACAAACACACCTTCTCCTCCTGGCCCTTTAGCGTTCCGCTATCGATGGGCATTGGAACCATAGCAGTTATATGTACAGGTAATCTTCGATTAGCCAGGAAAGTAGCTAGGAGTTTAGGATCGTTTATTAGCTTCCTAACGTCTCTATGACGTCAGTCAAACTACTATCCAGCAGATGGCCCAATTCCCCCAGCGTCATCCCCTAGGATATGCCCCCCCCCGTATCCTCCTCCTCCTTAACCTAGCCTATAACGCCAGTGCTATGGTTCGCCTCAGTAAACGTCACGGTTCCAAAAATATTTTCCTTGATACAGGTTACATATGACTATAAGTTTCCAGTATAATCCGAGGCCAGGCACTTATATAAGATTGCGCAACATGCCAACAGCTCTATGACAAGAGACACACGAGCCCAATTTACAGACGAAACGCCAGAAGGTTCTGGTGGCAAATCATGGCCTCGGGGGCAAACCTAGACTATGGTGTTCCTGAATTAGCGCTTCGGCTCTCGTCTCCATGCCGCGTCTATATATGTCGCGAGCTGCATCCAATCTGTACCTACTAATGGACTTAATGTGAGATGATCGAGAAGGTCCGTCATAGGGGTTTCTTGTAGGGATCAGAAGCTGGGTATAAACGCCTGCGCTCTGCTTTCTTTCAGACAGCGCTACCTTGAAATGACGCGCCATGAGGCACATTTGTCGACGCAGAAGACAGTAACGTCTCTTCGTATCATCCTCGAAGTCGAGCTTGATAAAGCGATTTGCTCTCCAGCGACACGAGATGAAACCCAGTACCTGGCCGCCTTGACGGGCGTGCTTTCGAAGTCTTACCCCCCTTTGACGACAAATATGACCTTGCGTTTTGCTGAAGGCACATCGCCAACACAAACGGCTCCCACTGCGCGCATTGGAGCATTCGAGGTACCCTCAAAGACTGAGCCCAAAAAGACTTAGTCTCTGATTAGGTGTATGTAATGGTGGAACTTTTTGATCACGTGGGCAGCGTGTGTACGGCCTCTCATAGGATCTTGCTTCATTCACGTCTCATCTCACGTAAGATGCCGATCACTGAACGAGTAGAAAAACGTCTTCGAGTAGCTCTTGGTGACCCGATTGAGCTGCCTCAACGCCCTCTGAAAGCGTCTTCGAGATCACAACGGTGCATCCGATGTGGATGGTCGACAACTTCGCCATCAACCTGCTCTGGCGTCTCTGGCCGGCATCATCATGTTGCAACTGGACACAACCTCCTCGTCCACGTAGATAGTGGACATATCAAAACAGCGCTTAGCATTGAATCCTGCGGAGAATTTGTAGATATTAAACCATTGTCGGATGACTGGCAGCAGTGCTGGGTAACGCATGAGCTCGTCCATAAAGTTGTAGTTAAACGTACAACAGGCGAATTCATCTGTAGCAGAGAGGTCTTCCCGTCTTACGTTGGGCCATTCCTCCTAACAATTGATTGTCGGATCAAGCGCGACAAGAAGCGGGCTACAGGCTCGTTTGGACGCATTACCTGTATCGGAGACATATGAGGGGAATTTTTGTCGTTCGCGAACTCATCTCACGGGTTGTGCCATCCTCGACGAGGGACTTCTCCCTGGTGGTACCAGACATGATGTCCTTGATCACCTAAGACGGACGGCAAAACACCGAGCCTTGGACCGTGAGCTACCAGTGTTACCGAGGATGTTTTTGATATTGATATCGATAGCTAGCTGCGAAAATTAGGACTCGACCCGCAACCAGAAGCGGCAGTGATCGCAATGACTTCAGATCATGTCCTTAAAAACACTCTTGGTGGTATCTCAAAACCACGAGAAAAGTGCCGAGCCCAGTGCCTACCGTCTCAGCCTAGTATTGTTATGCTTAACCGACAGGTGGTCTGGGCATGACAACATCATTCAAAAGAGATGTGCTGAGTCAGAACATTTCGCAAACCAATCCTTAGTATTGGGAGTCGACAGCAAGCCAAGTTTCATTATGCCTCCTTTAGCTTCCGCATCGGAGTCTCTACTTAAGCCAACGTTAGGAGGAATATCTTATCCGCCGCGACCCAAATCCGCAACAAATCGTCCAGCTTCCGCCTTTCGCTCGTGCTATTGGGCCAAGAATTACCGCCTCGGTGATCTCAACTCGGAGCCAGCGGCAAGTCCCGAACAAACATTTTTTGTGGATCTCCATCGCAGCAACTCGGATTACGTAGGTTGTATGCCTCGGTTCCATATTTGGTGAATCCGAGTTAGACCCACATCCTGCCTTCTGTGTTCGCTAGGGATCGAGATTCTGCGTAGAAGTGCTAGACATATCAAGATTGCTCATGGTGTGGTATTCTTTTTCTTCCATCATCCTGGTAAAACACTGGGGTGCGCGCAACAGTCTCCAAAATCTTTTTGTGTTCCACCATATTATCAACGCAGCCGACTCATGATCAGGCCGGGTCGGCTTGAGCAGGGGTTGACCACGAGCGGAGCGAGATTCCGGCCCACTGTTGTGGACGGGGGAACCCATGCTTTGGGGCAATCTCGGTTAAGAGACGGGCGCGCTTCTAACCAAATTATTGCGCTGCGCCCATCGTTGAGTCCGGCGTCCGGCCTGTCGTGACTCCCAAGGGGACTGGGAGTGGATTGGATCGAGATAGTGTGCCGGCCGGATCGAGATAGTGTGCCCGTCATTATCTCGCAACCAAAAGACCACAGGCTGGCCAGCTCAAAACGAAAATTGCAGTTCGATAAGATCCGAAGTTGCCTGTTTGCCATTCCAACCACCAAAGATGTATAGGGTACCACCGACTGTGGTCATGGTGTGGCCATATTTGTGCATAGGCAGCGTGGCAGGAGCATGAGGCAGAATCCACTCGTTGGTGTTGGAACCGGTTCCATCGGAGGTGACTTTTAGAAAGTAGAATGAGCCTGCACCCTTCTGCTTGCAGCCCATATTCTGAAGACCGCCGATACCCCAGCCTCCAAAGAGCGCAAGGCCGAAGTCCATATGAGCAGTGGCATGGCCATACCTTTTTGATGGCGGGCAACTTCCACCGATTGCAGGTTTCGTCCAAATCATCGTCTCCGTATCAAGTTGGCGCAGGTCATTGTAATACTCGGGCACGGGGTCCTTCAAGCTCACATTGCAGCCGCCATAACAGAGAATCCTACCATCACTAAGTAGATCAAGAGTGTGCCCATATCGCGGGGACGGCAAAATCCCCGCGGATTTCGGCTGTACCCAGGTGAAGGTGTCGGAGTTAAAGACCCATAGATCACCCATGCAGTGTGTACGTCCATCCCAACCGCCATGAATGACAATCTTCCTCCCAACAAGCAGCGACGCGTGAAAAAATCGAGGCGATGGACTCGCACTTGTCACTGAGACGGGTACCCAAGTCCACTCGACAAGATCGAGGAAGCTAGTGTCCCGCAGAGCTCCAGATTCACCCCGTCCTCCAAAGACAAACATACGTGAACCAACAAGTTCAACGGAATGACCATATCGAGGCGGTGGCGCATCGCCGGAGCACTGCACTTTATGCCAGAGGCGATTTTCTGTATCTAGAACATATGTGTCGTTGTAATAGGCGAAGTTTCCGCCTGTAGTGTAACATGAACCCCCGAAAATTACTATCTGGTTTTCGGCCATGGTCGCCGTGTGTCCACCTCGCGCTGAGGGTCGATCTCCATCGATGACAGAAACAGCGTAGTCCAACATACACGTCGACGACATTCTGTACCCTAAGCTTCAAGCGACCGTGATTCCCACGAGTTCAGATCGCATTGTTGTGCGTTGCACATGAGAAGATACGTGTGTCTTTATTTGCGGGCGGGTCACGGGGCAAGCGCGGCCTGTCGGCCTGTTATTATAGTGCGCTTGGCGATAAGCCAGCAATCTAGGGGGGCTGCATATCATATGCTATGCTGGGTTGGATAGTAGCATACTCGGATTCTAATATCGGGGTAGAGAGATAGAAAGATATGTACCTTCTCCTTCTAACCACCGGACGCTAAGTTGAATCGCGTCGATAAGTCAGTTCTAGCACCCACTTAGACTGCCCTTAACCTGTTACGGGGCCCCAAGGAACCCGAAACGCTCCCGACAGGTTTTCGCTACAGGTTTTGGTCGGCGGCTGGGGGCTTTACTCAGGCGCCGGGGGGGCGGGCGGGGTCCAAACTAGAAAGCGTCGAATTTCCCGCGTTCGATAGAGAGTTAGGTTTTGGTCGACAGAGGTCACCGTCGGCCGGTGGCTTACTCTGGACACGAGGCGTCGCCCCGTGCGGTCGGGCCTGTGCCTCACATCTGCATTGGATCAGCCAAAGCTACCCGAGGTAAGGCACTGCCTATCTTTTGGTGTTGGCATATGCCCAGGTCTTCGTTTCGCGAGCTTTCAGGAGTGCGCTGAGATGTCGCTTGTGATAATTCTCGTCGTTTTGGGTGATCCAAGTTCGCAAATCATGGTCATCGAAGTACCAAGCCTTAATGTAAGAGTCAACATATGCAGCTCCGCGTAATGGTCTAGCAGGCTGTATCTTGTCAAGTGAGAACTGGAGAACCTGAAGGTCCATCGACATGAGAGCTCGGCCCTCAGTAGAACACTTATGAATCATAGCAAATCCATCTACAAGAGCCTCGAAGGAAGCTTGCATGGCATTTGTCCAAATAAGCTCCTTCAAATTGCTGTGAGATAATGCTCCATCATTGGCTTTGCTTAATGATGCCCACACACCTCTGAGCTTCGTGACAATTGCGTGGACGTAAAGATTACACTCCTCTTTAATAGTGTTGGTGAGCCAGACAGTTGCGCCCAGTGAATTGATAGCCCACGATATACCTGGTGCTCCCACAAGTCTAGAGCCGACCACACGGTGGACGGAGCTCCTCAATTCTAAAGCGAGGCTTGTCGCAGTCTTGAGTCTACCCATTGTAGCACCACGATTGGTGTGTCTTAAATCGTACTTCAATATGCTCTTTACCGCATGGAGAAGAGCGTCTCGAGCAAAGAGTAAGGACTCTGCTGCAATGACAGCACCCTCGACCTCTGCGAGCCCCCTCGCTTCACCCAACTGACGACAGTACACCGCCTTAGCGAGCCGAGTGAGGTGAATGGACGATTTTTCGTAGGATGGTGTTTCAGCATCATGATATGATAGATGCTTCGCAGCAACAGCGGCAAGATAAGTCTCAAAATTTTCAAACAAGGTCTCTAGAGTTAGCAATTTGACGCCCTTGAGCAGGGCAACGACCAGTACATATTGCACGGCAGATCGTTGGACACCGTGAAAGGCCGCCTGGGTCGCAAACAGCATCTGTCGATGTGACGCCTTCTTGACCTCGTGATCCAAAAGCGAGACATGCGCCTCCCAGCGAAAAGAGGTTCGTTCGTCCAAGAGAGATAACGTTTGGTTGAAGGCAGCGGCATTCAAGATTGTGGCCTGAAATTCAGCTCTAATTACAGTACTACTGAAGGCCCTCATCGAGTCGTTTTTGCCGCTTGTGTCGACACAAATCCATGGCTCACAGGTGAGCATCTGCTTCAAACCATCTAGTGTATCGGCTTGTAGAACTTTAAGGTATGGTAGGTAGATCAGATCTTGCAGGTCTGTGTCAGGGTCGACGCTATTGCCAATCATAGAGAATCGTCTAACAGCCTCGAGGGCTTCAAGGGCAAGAACAATATCAGCAAGTCGTGATCGCCGTCGCCCTTCGTCAACGCCACGGTGGTCTTTGACCGGGACATCGACAGCAATAACCCTGATGATTACACCCCTTGCGTGATAAAAGATGTCATTAACAATTCGAAGCAAGCTATGGCGAACACTTTCGACCCTACCGGAGTTGGTTCTCGATTCAACACGTGAATTCGTCGCCAGCTTATCTCCAAGTAAGCTAGAGAGCTCTTCGCCAGTACTAATACTAGGCGATGCGCCATGCCATACTGCTGCGTCGTAAATTATTTTGATAAGCGTGATCGCTACAATGGAAAGAGCCACTGCCTTTGTTGCGATTGAGCCTTCAATTGTGAAACTTGAAGCTGCATCAATGCGCGCGATCGCGTGCTGCTTAATCCGTTTGCTCAACCCAATGACCCGCGATGAGGAAACAGTTGCTGCTTCAGCGCAATTGGTTTCATCGAGCGTGGCATACACTGAGACAATCTCAGAGTACTTAGATTCATCAAACACTATATTGTTTTGAATGAGGCATTTGAGAGCATCGTCAACGATAGAGCTTAGCTTTGGGAAGATTTCCCGCACGTCTCTTCGAGTGACGTCGAGAATTATGATCCTTGATAAACTAGATTCAACCAAGGACATGTGAGCAGCGTGTGAGAGGGTAGTTGCGGCCATAAAATTACGAGCACTCATTGCTTCATACGCATCGTCGTTGATCTTCAACACCTCTACTATGTGTTTGGCTAGTGCGCAAACCTTCTCCAAACGACTTCGCCGCCTGCGATTCTGCAGTAGCTGTAACGTGTTGCTAATAACCTCCCGTTTTACATCGATGATCTTTCGCCGCGCATTGGTCGCCTGCACATTACTTTGACTAGCCACGTGTTTTATTGAACGCATGTGATAGATGCCCGTTATCAGCCCATCATATTTGTCCCGTACTGTATCCGTCAATGAAGATATGATAAGTGCCAAATTCCTCATCATATGAGCTAAATTCGCTGAGAGAAGTTCTGTTTCAGACATCCCAAGATCACTATGTCTTTCGTGTCCATAAGTACGTACGTCCTACATCAGACTTCATCAATAGGAAAGTTTGTTGAAACGGTTTTACCTCAATCATATACGCGCATCCATCAAAACCCTCTGTGTAGAAGATGTCTGAGAGAGCTGGTTTCTCGAACTTGTAGGGTGGAAGAATGGAATGATTCTCACTTGGCGGGCACTGCACTCGAGTCGCCTGTCTTGCCATCCCATCCATCTTCATGAGCACCATATCACCGAAAACACTCAAGTTTTCTTCCAGTTGTCGCCCACAACTCGGTGCACCCAGTTGTACTGCCGCACTGGAGAGCATCTTATGTGAGAGTGGACCTTTGCTGTACTGGTACCGTAGCGAAATTTGGTAAACGCACAGACATAAATGAAATTAAACCACGATCTTATCTACACCAAACTTGCAGCACCTCGCTTGACACATGTGTTGCAATTGCGCTGGTGAGTTTTGATCTGCGGGCAGTTTTTTCGAACGCGGCATGTTAAATTTTCGTGCTGGCAGCGGCCAAGGAATTGGCCAGGGAGTCAGATGTGGCTGAGCTGATACAAGTGCAGCTTGGCTCGAGAGCGAAATCGAGCAAATGGACCTCAAAGTTTTGCTCATGCTAGCTGTCATTACGGACCTCCCCCGGGCATCCCCTGGCCATCCTGGACGCGTCTGGGTCGGGGACAGTGCGCGGGCGCGCTGGACGCCCTTTCGCGCGTCGCGCGGCGACGCAGTGGTGCCGGAAAGGGCCCATTTCAGGGGCGGGGCCCAGCACGGTCGGTTGCGGAGCGACGAGATGCAGTCCAAACAGGACGTAGACCGTGCCGTAGCGTCGGCCGTGGGTCGAGAGTAGGTCGTAGGCCTCTCCTCGGGCTCGTCGTCGCAGCACCACACAGTCGAGTGAAACTCGCGCCGATTCGATGCGAGAGCGTCTCCGTCGAACAAGTCTTCCCCGACGAGATCCGTCGCGCGGCGGCCGCGGAGATCACTCCCAGAGGGGCCCAGGGGTAGGGCGTGGCCGCGCCAGCGGTTGACAGCGCCGCGCGCGTCGACACGGCGGCCGCGTCGCGTGCCGAAGCGCTGGAAGCGTCGGCCGGCGAGGCGCTTCGGCGTCGCCGAAGCGCCTGTACACACACTTAACAGCGCATAACTCAGCGAGATCGTGGTCCGCGAAGAAAATTCAAGCGGCGCCTGATTGCCCCGAGCCAGGCGCACGCTGCGCGCACCTCCACTCCATTTTGTCCACTGGGACGAGAACTGCACTTTTGTATCAACTCAGCCACAGATAGTGGTCAAGTTTAAGTACTGGCGCCGACAGTGACCGCACTCAGGATGAGACGCGGACAGGCCAATCTTGCGATGAGCCCCCCCTGGAGGCCCACCGGCGGCCACACTAGAGAGATAGAGGGTTTTGTATCCCCCTAGTGGCTCGCTGGTACAGAGCCTAACGAGATAGTAAACTCCGACACGGGGAGGCAGCCTAATGGGGCTGCCCTGCCGTGTGAGGGTGAACTATCGAGGTTACGCAGTGGCGGTACACCGGCGTCTCTGTTATCCTCACGTCACCTCAGCTGCCGTAGTATACGGGGGCCGGGGCTACTGGGA